AAAAGCGTATGATTTTCTCCGGTGGAGCTTTATCGAAGAAACTCTACAGCTAGCTGGTTATCCCGAGCGCTTCGTAAAAGTTGTCATGGCATGCATTAGCTCGGCCTCGATGAGTTTGCTATGGGATGGCACAATCGGAGAGGAATTTAAACCCACACGAGGGGTTCGACAGGGAGACCCCATCTCTCCCTATATTTTTGTCCTTTGCATGGAGAGACTGGCGCAAAAGATTTGCGAGTCGGTGGAGTCCGATGCTTGGCGCCCGATATCGGTTGGGCGAGGAGCAGTCAACGTGCCGTTCCTAATGTTCGCTGACGATTTACTTCTCTTTTTGGAGGCCACGGATGATCAAGCCACTATTCTCGCACAGGTGCTTGATCGTTTTTGTGCCGACTCGGGGCTTAAAGTAAGTGAGGCTAAGACACAAATTCTATTCTCTAATAACGTGGAGCCGCAAGAACAAAATAGGTTGGCATCGGCCCTCAACTTCAAGTTAACGGATAATTTGGGAAAATATCTGGGGGTACCAGTCCTTCATGGACGAGTCTCCAAATCCACGTATAACCATATTGTTGAACGAGCGGAAAAGCGTCTAGCCGGATGGCGTATGAAATCTCTGTCCTTGGCCGGGAGGGTGACATTAACTCAATCAATTCTGAACACATTACCGTATTACTCTATGCAGACGGCGATGCTACCAAGTTCCACAAAAGCGGGACTGGAGAGGCGGAGTCGAGCTTTCGTATGGGGTGGAACTAATGACCGTAAGAGCACACATTTGGTTGCTTGGAAGGACGTGTGCAAACCGAAAATCGAGGGCGGGCTAGGTGTTAAGGATCTCCATCGAATGAATAGTGCTTTGTTGATGAAGCTGGGATGGGGATTATTAACAAAACCGGAGGCCTTATGGGTGCGTGTCCTGAAGGCAAAGTATGCATTGAATTTCTCAATGAGTATAGAACCGACCAGCTGGAAGCAGGGATCGACACTAATTCGTGCTATTCGCATGCTTTGGCCCCAGGTGACCAGTGGAATTCGGTGGGTTCTGGGCAACGGCGAAAAGGTACGTTTTTGGCTCGATTCATGGCTTGGCATGGAAGGGCCGCTGGTTCGGTTTGTGACGGACCACACGCATATAGTAAACATTTTTTCAACGGCCGCTGAGCTAGTGGATACTCGAGGGAACTGGCGATGGGAATGTATCCATGGGGTTTTACCTTCTTCTGTGGTATTGCGCATAGCGGGGACACTTCCTCCGAAAGAGACGGCTGCCGAAGACCGTATTATATGGGGATTCTCCGAGGATGGCCGATTTTCAACGAAATCAGCCTATCAAGCGATTTCGAATTCTGAGAGGGATCCGGATTATCAACTATGGAGGACCATTTGGCGGGCCCAGGTCCCGCAACGGGCCCGAACCTTTTTGTGGCTGGCTGCTAAAGATCGTCTTCTTACTAACTTGGAACGTGGTCGGCGCCACATCTCGACATCAACTGCGTGTGAGTATTGCGGTGAGGAGGAATCGGTAATCCACGTTTTGCGAGACTGCTCATTGGCGAAGGAGGTTTGGAAGCTTTTGTTACCAGCTGCTGGAACCGTAGGTGACTTCTTCCAACAACCTCTCAAAGCTTGGTTTCGCCAAAATTTATTGAAAATCAGGCTGGGACATGTTAATAATTGGTGTAGCATATTCGCGGTAACTGTTTGGCGCATGTGGACGTGGCGAAACGAGAGGATTTTTAAAAATAAGCTTGCTAGTAGCGAGGCTAGAAAAATGGAGATTTTACGAATTACAGAAAATTACGCACGAGCGGCCACGGCTTTCACGCGGGTTGGGGTTGCAGCCTACGTGACTCGTATGATTCGGTGGACCCCTCCGGCGGCGGGCTGGGTCAAAGTGAACACGGATGGCGCATTTAACAAGCTCACGGGCCTGAGTAGTGCCGGCGGTTTGATTCGAGATGAGACGGGACGATGGGTTGAGGGCTTTCTTATGAATATTGGATCCTGTACTATCACGGGAGCCGAGCTTTGGGGACTTTTTCAGGGTTTGCTATTGGCGTGGGATCGGGGGCTTCGACGAGTTATCGTTGAGATTGATAGTCAATGTGTCAAGAACATGGTCTCCAAAGCGGATGGTTTTTACGGAAATCATGAGGCCATGGTTAGAGCCATTAAAGAACTAATCCAAAGAGAATGGTGTGTCTGCCTCCAACATGTTCATAGAGAAGCGAATTTCGCAGCGGATCACATGGCGAGCTTGGCGGCATCCTATCCGGTTGGCCTACAGCGACTCTCTTTACCTCCTGTGGGACTGGGAGATTGGCTTGATCACGATTGCGTTGGGGTATCATATCCCCGGCAAATATTAGCTTAAGCCTTTGGCCTCCTTCTTTGTACCAAAAAAAAAAAAAGAATAATAGCAACAACACAATCCGAATAATCCATCCACCTGATCATCCAACCGGAATGGCCGATCCAGACGACTTTACCACCCCACGCAACAGCAACTTCTCCGCCTACGACCCCAACCGCCTCAGCTGCGAGGGCTCCCCTATGATGATGTCCCCTTGGAACCACTCCCCCTTCGCCAACGCCCCATGGTCGTCCGACTCCGACGACCCACCCGCCGCGTCCACCCTCCCCCAAACAGGCCTCGTCGGCTCCCTCGTCCGCGAGGAGGGCCACATCTACTCCTTAGCCGCCAGGGACGGCCTCCTCTACACCGGCTCCGACAGCAAAAACATCCGCGTCTGGAAAGACCTCAACGAGTTCTCCGCCTTCAAGTCCAACAGCGGCCTCGTCAAGGCCATCGTCATCTCCGGCGACCGCATCTTCACCGGCCACCAGGATGGGAAGGTCCGCGTCTGGCGCGCGCCTTCCCACAAGCGCGTCGGCACCATGCCCACTTTCTTCGACATCTTCAAATCCTCCATCCGACACAAGCGCGTCAAGCATGCCGACGCTATCTCCTGCCTGAGCATCGATCGAGATAGGCGCTTCCTCTACTCCGCCTCATGGGACTGCACTTTTAGAGTCTGGCGAGTCGACAACTCGAAATGCGTGGAGTCTGTTCGCGCGCACGACGATGCCGTCAACTCTGTCGTGTCGGCTTCTGGAGGGGTAGTGTACACGGGCTCGGCCGACGGGAAGGTGAAGGTTTGGCGGAGGGAGGAGAAAAGGCACGTGTGCGCGCAGACGCTGCTGAGTCAGGAGTGTGCGGTGACAGCGCTGGCGGTGAGTGGGGACGGGTTGGTAATTTACGCGGGGTCTTCGGATGGGCTGGTGAATTTCTGGGAGGAGGATAAGGAGTTGGTGCATGGAGGGGTGTTGAAGGGGCATAAGTTGGCGGTGCTGTGCCTGGCGGCGGCGGGGGGTTTGGTGTTTAGTGGGTCGGCGGACAAGACGATATTGTGTGGAGGAGGGAGGGGAGTGTGCACACGTGTCTGTCGGTGCTGACGGGGCATAGTGGGCCGGTGAAGTGTGTGGCGGTGGAGGAGGATACGGCGGAGGGGAAGTGGGTGCTTTACAGTGGGAGTCTGGATAAGTCGGTTAAGGTGTGGAGCGTGTCGGAGACGGCGCCGGATATCGGGAGGATGGGGGTGGCGCAGGGGGATTTTAACTGGGACTCTATACCCTCGGCTAAGTATTGATCCATTGATATGATCGGGGAAGATTATTATTATGGCTCGATTTTTTTTTCTTTTTTGTTTGGTAATTAAAAGTATATACGTGATCAATTGTGTTCTTGGGATTTTTTTTTTATTTTTTTATTTTTGTTTGGTTTCCCCCCTTTTCTTTTAGTTTTGGTTTTCATTTTTGTTTTCCCTTTAAATGGAAGTAGAGCAATTAACTGCGACAACATATGTTTTGTACAAGAAAGTGTGAATAAATTTATTAATTGTTGTGGGATTATGATGTAATATACCATGACTAATGATTGAGAAATAATATCGGGTAAGGCTATAATTCCGTTACGGAATCATTCCGTTGGGATTTGTAACCGTTAGATCAACTATCATTGACGGTTACTTGATGATATAACAGTTACAAATCCCAACGGAATGGTTCCGTAACGGGATTGTAGCATTTTCCAATAATATCATGGCCAAATGCCGGTTCCCGAACTGGTTTTGGGCTGAACTGTTTTCGAAAATTTGTTTTTCTAAACGAGGTTTAAACAAATTGGACTTGTGCTTATATATAGTTATTTATTTGAGTAAAAAAATGATATTATAATTTATAATATGTGAGCTAAGTTGTCTATATATCCCTTACCTTGATGATCAAAATTCTCGTATTTCTCTTACTTTACTTAACTTTATGAAAGAAGATGACATGATGCATTGAACAATTTAGTAATCTTAGCTAGGTTTCATAATCGTCTTCAATTCTGACGGTTCCACTAGTATTAGTAAAATTGGATGTCTTTTCTTCGTCATCCTAGTTAGCATGGTCGTTTGTACACTTCGTTTAGCCTTTTTTTAATCACTCATCAATATTTGAGCCTCCAAATTTTGCAGCATCAGCCTCAACTGTTGTGCATCCGATATATATACTCTTTAGTAAATGCTTGTTCAACCACCTCAGTTGAGAGAAAGGGCGACACTAACATGAAGCGGCAACCATGGATTTAGTGTGTCAAGAGAGAGAGAGAGAGAGAGAGAGAGAGAGAGAGAGAGTTGATGGGAAGTTACCAATTTACCATATACATAGTAAATTAGCTTTTGATAACTGATAGGGAATTCCTCCATTATCTAGTAAAATACTATAAAGATGAAAAATTGATCGTTACGTATATATATACAAATAAATTTAAATTTAGTTAATTTGTAAATAATTATAAATCGATCTTTAGCCATATATTCAAATAAATTTGTAAATAAATGTATAAGAGATGTAACTGTGTAATAAAAACGGATTAATTAGGTGGAGCGGGTATTTTTTTTTTTTTAAATGGTAATAAACCGGCCTGCCTAGTTGGGGCATTTGGGCCAAAACAGTCGTGGCTAATTATTATCAGCCCAAACATGATTTGAATTAACGAGTTCAAATCACAACTCACTTCAATTTTCAACAAACTGCCTATTAATATTACCAATTATAGTATCTGTTTTCAGAACTGTTCTCTTTTCAGTTTTTGGGATCTCATTAACAGCGGACAGAGTAACTCAGGGAAGATGACGATGTTCCACTTCTTGAACTGCGCGATTTTGACGTTTGGCCCTCACGCCGTCTACTACTCCGCCACTCCCCTGTGAGTTTTATTTGCCATTTTTTCTTTGATTTGCTTTTTGACCCCTTCAATTTGGTGAGTTTATCCGCCGGATCTATTTGAGTTAAACGGGGATTCTTTTACCCTTGCTGCAGGAATTATTCTGCTTTGTGCCTTTATATTCTGTTCAAGTGTTTTGATGTTTTCGTATTCTGCTCGATGTAAATTAGGTATTTTTGTGGCTGGGAGATATTCCAATTTAATTGACATAGTTAGAGTAGATGCCATTAGTGGAGCTGGGTTTTGAATTTGTATAAAAGAATAGTGATTTTGGCCGATTGAATGATATTGTTTGAGTACTGAGTTTTAGTTCTTTGTTATTTCAGATGTGGAAGCTATTTATTATTATCTTGTGACAGTTTACTTTTCTGAAAGTTGAGCTTTGTTTATTTCACTAATGAATTATGTTGGATAAAATGATGGGTGTATTGACCAGTTTTATTGGACAGATCCGAGTATGATACAATTGGCACCTCGATTAAAGCAGCTGTTGTTTACCTTGTAACAGCACTAGTAAAGGTTAGACATAGTGATCAGGAATTCAGGATGATAGAGTGGCTCCAATTTGTTTTTGCATTTTTTCTTCATTGCTTTTAATTTTTCTGAATTGCATTCCTTTGCAGCTTGTTTGTCTTGCAACATTTCTCAATGTATCGGAAAGTGACAGTTTCGACCCATATCAGGTATTATGCACAATCTAAGTTTAATCATATTCCATAGGGGAATCACTGTACATGAATGGTAATTTTTGTATCCAATGCCTTAAAAATTGGTAAAGACTTAATTTTCGTGTCCTCAAATTATTTACACAATTGCTCTACCTTATAAGCACGAAATGAATATCACCATCAAGGTTCTTGTCTAACTGTGTATGCTGTATCTGTTGTGTGCGTATGAAAGCATTTATATGTTTGCTATCATGTCACATATTTAGTTTTGCAAATTTGATCTATCCCTCCTCAAAAAAGCTTAATGATCATGAATGGGATTCAGTTTTCTGATTTGTTTGAAAATCTAGTTTTAATTCTCATTAAATCCTTCTCAGGAATTATTGAAAGCGTTGATTGGGTTCATAGATGTTGCCGGGCTTTATTTTGCCTTGACACAGTTAACTCATAGGAATATTTCTCAAAATCACAAATTCCAAGCTGTCGGACTTGGTGAGTATACCCCAGTAACTTTTCTTAGTCCTTTTTATTTTCTCATTGGTCATCGTTTTCAACATTCTGCTCCTATTTTATGACAAATAATATTAAAATAGTGGAATTGACTGAGCAGAATATGTAAGGACCTAATATACTAGTTTGTTTCTGCTTTTCTGAATCAATACATTTCAGCAGCTTCATGTTAGACTTCTTGTTCTATTTTAGGACCATGATGTTTGACAAAAAGAAAAAAACTAAAATAAACGAAACAGCATAGAGTGAAAATCTAAATACCTTGACAACCAACACCAAATTGGTTTATTTCCCACTATAGTGCTAGTGTTAGAGTAAAAGATTATTGAGTGAAAGTTTTAGTAGGCCTTCCTTTGTTTTTAACCACCTTTTTGTTCTATTATAATTAAATGTTGTCTCAACCATATTACCTGTCCTTATACTCCTGTCTTAAGTTGTGTGAAAACGTAACACACTCAATAGAATGTTCATGGAAAAAGGGGGCTCATTTGTTTTTTTAAATGAAATGATAAATGCAAGCTGTAAACTTGTTTATTGGTAATCTTCATGCCTAGTTGTTTTCATCTTGAATTTTGCATGTACTGAGTAAATCAAAACCTCCATCAACCTATTTAAGGAGAAGTACTTTATATATTTCTGTATTTGTTTCTTTTCCTTTTGGCATTTAAGGTTTTATTTCATTTATACAGGTTGGGCGTTTGCTGATTCCGTGCTCCATAGGCTGGCTCCACTTTGGGTGGGTGCTAGAGGTTTAGAATTCACTTGGGACTACATTTTGCAGGGGCTTGAATCTAATGCTAATTTGGTATGATTTTCCTAGTCCTACCGAAGTAAACTTTCAATTCAAACATATACTAGTTGGGTTCATTAAAACCTATTATTCCTGAGATTTAGCCAAATTACTAAGAAAAAAAAGAATTGGCCATTGAATAAGACAAATTGGGGGGCCCTGAACGGCCATCTTTGTGTTCTCAAATGCAATGGGAGCTAAAACTTCAAGGTTGGTTCTTGTATTTGTTCCTATAAATGTTTGTAAGTCTTATGAAATCTGCTTCTGGCCAATATTTCAGGTGTTGAGTTTATCCCTAGCTGCATTAGGTTCTTTGATCTGGCTCAGGAAAAACAAGCCCAAAACTTTGATTCCCATTATATACGCTTGTGCAGGTATTGTGGCAACAATGCCATCTATTACAAGGTACGGCTGCCCACTGTAGCTTTAAGATGTGTTGGTTTTTTTATGATAGAAGGAACTTTATTTTTTGATTTTTTATTTTTTTTTTAATTATTTTTTTTATGATAGAAGGAACTTATCTTTAATCTAGTTTGTGGTGTAGTATGATATTAAATAGTTATAACATTTTTTTTTCCCATCCAGTTATCTGAAAGGAGGCTTGGGATGGCACTTTCCGAAGGTGGTAGGATTTGAGTTGTTCACTTCTTTAATAATGGCTTTCATTAGCTGGCAGCTTTTTTCCGCATGCCAGAGGCCATCTAACTGAAGGATCATTAAGATTAACTAATATTATTGTTTAGTAGCAGCCTCATTTCTTTCGCGCCTTTTCTTTTCCCTTTGTAAGAGGAGTTCATTTTGCCTACATTAGTCCGATCTTGTAGAATTTTCATACAATTCGGATTTCCTTTTTTTGCATCTGTTAATCTCTGTGTTGTCATTGTAACTCAATGAAATTTTGGATGGTCAAAAGTGCTGGTTGTTCGTTTGCTAGTTCGTTGACATGCTGATTGGATATTCCCGGCGCGCTTGTTTACAAATTAATTTGCTCAAAATGATTTTTTATTGTTTTCTAGGGTTAATTTTTAAAAAATGTGGTATGGTTAGTGGTTAGTAGGATTTTGAATTATGTTAAAGTAATATTTAAAATAAAATAACTAAAGTTAATCTGATGTAAAAGTAAGAGATGGTGTAAAGTGATAGTTAAAATTATGTGAGTGAATATATTAGAGATTTGTAAATTTGTGAACTATAACGATATTTGGAGATCACTAAAATTTGATTTTCAGAACTGTACCAAAAAATGGGTTCAGTTCGGTTCGAAATATTTTTTTTTTGATTCGGTTCGGTAATCGGGACTATCGGAACGGTACGGTTCGGTTTGGTTCTTTGGATATTAAGAGATTTTTAATTATTTTTTAAAAAAATTTAAATGACTACCTAGTTATATTTTATTTTTTACATGTTTTTTTTTTTAAATCCAACATTCATCAATACTTCATCATACTAAGGACTTTATTTATAAATCAACTTCATAAGTAACTCTAAATTTTAGTTAAACCTTAAGACTAAATTTGTGCAACTAATATTGAAAACTTAAATTCAAACAAAATATTAATGTAGTTTTTTATTAAAATAATATTTCTTAACCTTCCATACTATGTAAGTTATAAGATAGAATAAGACTAAGTATCGACAAATTTAAGTAAAGTTTAAATTTTTTTTTTTTTAAATATTTTTTTACTTTCATTCCAATTTAATATTTTCTTAAAACAGGAAAAATTCAATTGTAGATGTATTACTAACTATAAAATTTAAGTGATACTTAATTGTAATTACTATATTTTATTTATATTTTAAAAATTCTCAAATTATATACGATCAAAGTTGACATAAAATATATTAATAACACACATCTATTTTTATAATTCAGTTCTTCGGTTCGGTACGGTATGGGATGGTTCGATTCGGTTCTCGGTATGGATATTTGTGAAATCTCCAGAACCGTACCAATTATTTTTTGTTCGGTTCGGTTCGGAAAAAGTCAAACGGTCAACGATTATTTTTCGGTTCGGAGTTCTTTCGGTTCAGTTCTTGGAGCGGTTCGGAATCCTTCGAGTCCCATGCTCTACCCTAAAATATATAGTAAATTAAAGTTGATGTGATGTATAAGAATGATTAGTTTGTATTATTTAATTATATGAATAATGTGATTTATTTGTATTATTTAATTATTTAAATGATATTAAGAATAGTGAGATTCAATTAGGATTTCTAAGGACTTTTTAAGACTTTAGTAATCGTGGTGTATTCAATTTAGATTTGTTAAGACTTTTAAAAATCCTGAGTATTCAATTGAAATTTTTAAAAGTATTACAAAATCATGAAGTATTTAATTTATTTGACAATAGGATTTGTTAATACTTTTTAAAATTTAGTGAAATTTCTAAACAAAAAACCTTATATGAAATCTCACCCAAAATTCTGCCTCTATACTTAAAGATTTCATAGAATTCCTCAAATCTGGAAATTTTAAAAAGTCTCAAATCATTAAAAATTTAATATTCACTTAAAATCTCAATTGATCAAAATTTGAGTTAAATTAAATTTGAGTATGAATTAAACGTGAATAAAATACTTTGTAAACAAATCCATATGCCTCGAACGCTACGGTCTCACGACTTTAGAAAAATGTAAATGCAAACGAATCATTCAAACAAATCCCCGTCGAGCGACAAGAGAATCCGTGAGTTGAAATGTGTCTATAGTACCACAAAAGATGCCTCTGCACTCTGCATTGGAAATTGATATAGGTGGGCCCCACGTGCCTATTTGCCAATTGTTTGTGCCAATCCAAAAAAAAAAAACAAAAAAGAAAAGGTTGCAAGAACCAAATACAATCATTCGCATTGGGGAAATCCATAATTTATACGCCGATCGGAAAAATTATCAGCTTATCAGCAAATGGCATCATAATTATGCATTGTCATCAGCTAAGGTTCTTTTGTCATAAAGTTCTCAGATTTTATAAATGACAGAAGAAAATGACCCTAGCAAGAACTATTCTTCTCAGTTCAGTGACTGCTAATTAGTAGAAAAAAAAAAAATGGATGCAATTAAAAGTCTTGAACAAATTTCATTGGTGACTGCGTTTACAGTAACGGGTATTGGTTTGTTCTCTCTGTGGCTCATCAATGGTTATTTGAAGAAAGGCCGTAAAACGACATCTTCAGGCCTCCCGCCTCCACCTCGTAATCATCCTCCATTTTTTTTTTTTCGCACATGATGAACTTAGTATTTCTGTTTTAAGTAATCAAGTTGAGGTTTTGTGTTTTCCACTTTGGACCCTTTTTGATCTATAGGATGTGTGTCTTCAGCTTGTCATATTTGAATGGCTGGATTTCCGCATGGTATGTGTTTGTAGAAATGTCTAGCCGGTATTGATGAATTGAGCTGTTTTGGAATACAAACTTTCACCTAAAAGAAAAGGAAAGAGAGAGAAAGAATTGGAAAATTAATGTTGTAGCTGTTTCTATTACTCAACTTGACTTTGAACCCTGACCAAGAAGTACTTTTGTTGTGTGTCCTAAATGCATGCTCATTGCCAAACAAGAAACTTTCCGTATTTATTACATTAATGGGATAAGGAAAATGGTGGATTGAATGCAGAGATACCGGGCTGGCCCGTGATTGGGAACTTGCTGCAACTGAAAGAGAAAAAACCTCACAAGACTTTCACCAGATGGGCCGAGAAATACGGCCCGATCTATTCCATTAGAACTGGCTCCACATCACTTGTGGTCCTCAACTCTAATGATGTTGCAAAGGAGGTGAGTGCAATTTAATTGGGCAAAGCGTATCTCTATCACCATCACAAATGACAATTTTTTTGTTTTTTTTTTTTTTTTCGATGATTCTGGATTTTCTTTTATAGGCTATGGTTACTAGATTTTCATCCATCTCAACGAGAAAGCTTTCTAATGCGATAAAGATACTTACTTGTGATAAAAACATAATTGCACTGACTGATTATGGTGAACATCATAAGATGATCAAGAAGAATATTCTCAATAGTACTTTGGGACCTAATGCTCAGGTATGAGCATTTATTACATTCAGGGGAGAGCCTTCATTTATTTATTATTTTATTTATTTATTTATTTTATATCATTGTATTATATCCTGGAAGATTTAACCAACTCTAGTTTGTTTATTATTTTAGAAGCGCCATCAAATTCACAGGGATACCATGATAGAAAACGTGTCAAAACACTTGATAGCTTGCCAGAAAGAGAATCCTATGGCAGCTGTGAATTTCAGGAAAATATTTCAGTCTGAGCTTTTTGGGCTGGCATTGAAACAAGTAAGTTTATCCAGTATAGGTTTACTCCCTTTAATTGTGGAATTGCATTGAATTAACTGAGTGTTAGCTTTTCTTTTTTTTTTCCCTTGTAAATGAAGCTTTCTATTGTAAGGAATAGTTGAGAATAAGAAGCTGGAAGTGTGTGTAGATAAATTAATAAAAATTTTAAAATTCTATTTAACCAATTGTATAACTATTTGAAGTGTCCGCATAAATCAACCTTCCCACTACTTTTAGGTTCTGATTAAAATTATGCAGAATCAAGAAACACAAGTTGTTGTTAAGAAGGCTAAGATGTATTTATTCTTTCCCTTGTTAAAATTTAACCAAAAGCTAACAAAAAACTTCTCAAAAGCTTGCAGTCTCCTCCCTGAAAACTAAAAATAGTGAAAGCTGTAATTGTCTTCAGGTTCTTGGACATGATCTGATGTCTATACACATTGAGGAGCTTGGACAAACTTTGTCAAAGGAGGACATATTCAAAATTTTGGTGGTTGACCCCATGAAAGGTGCCATTGAGGTTGACTGGAGGGATTTTTTTCCATATCTAAAATGGATACCAAACAGGACTTTCGAGAAAAATATCAAACAAATGTATTCTCGTAGGCAAGCTGTTATGACCGCGCTCATCAACGAACAAAAAGAACGGATTTCTCGAGGAGAAGTACATTTTATGTGCTTATTAAATAAATTCCATTTGCTCAATTATTTAAGTGGTTTAAGCATAATTAACGGTTAATTTTTTCTTACCAGGAAGTGAATTGTTACCTCGACTACTTGTTATCAGAAGCAAAAACATTGTCTGAACAACAGATTCTAATGCTGTCATGGGAAGCCATAATCGAATCATCGGATACTACTTTGGTCACGACCGAATGGGCATTGTATGAACTCGCTAAAGATCCCGAAAGACAGGTGGATGTTCTTTTGTATTTGTTCTTCACATAATTGATTTATCAGCTAAGTTGAACTTCTTCACTTGGTGCAGAACATGATCTCTTCTCTCTTTTTTTTTTCTTTTTCTTATTAAATGCAAATAGGATCGCCTATATAGGGAAATTGAAAGTGTTTGTGGAAGTGAAAAAATCACAGAGAAAAAGTTGAGTGAACTTCCGTTCTTGTCTGCGGTTTTTCACGAGACTTTGAGAAAATATAGTCCAGCTCCCGTAATTCCTTTGAGATTCGTTCATGAAGATACGCAAATAGGAGGATATGACATTCCTGCAGGAACTGAGGTAACTAACTAATCTTCTATTTCTATGGGCATTTATGCTCTACTTCGATGTTTTATATACTTAATACTAATTAGTTGAGCTTGTTTGAGTAACTTTACAATATAGATAGTAAAGTGAAGGATAATCACAAAAACTACTCCTGAAATTTGAACTGTGAAAGAAGGGATAAAAAGACAAACTTTGAGGTTGCATGCTTTAAATTTGAGGTTTACACACTAAAGAATCCCAAATCTTTGATTTTATTTATTTATTTATTTATTTTTTGGAGTCATTTGTTGGGTCATATGCCAACTTTCACCTCAATCTGAAGGATAAACTCATTAATAACTTTTCCTGAGAACCTTACCTTAGATCCAAAATCTTCGAAAATATCTAACTGAGACCAACTTTTCATGCAGATTGCTATAAATATCTTCGGATGTAACATGGACAAGAAAGTATGGGAAAGTCCTGAAAGCTGGAAACCAGAGAGATTTCTCGATGAAAAATACGAAACGATGGATTTACACAAGACGATGGCTTTTGGGGCTGGGAAAAGACTATGCCCTGGTGCCTTACAAGCAATGTTGATATCTAGCTTGGCAATCGGTCGATTAATACAGGACTTCGAATGGAGGCTTAAGGATGGAGAAGAAGAAAATGTCGATACGCTCGGGCTCACGACACACAAGCTTCATCCGCTGCATGCAGTTTTAAAGATGAGAAATTGACTTAGCTCAATCATGACATTTGCTTTGGGATAAGTCAAAAGTTTGGTTCAAACTTTAGGGTTCATGTGTGGTTTTGTTTGTATGATACCTTGTAAGAACACAAATAAGTTGTAACAGCTTCATGGATGTTCAGTATGTACTATGTATGTTCCTCCAATATCTTATCCACAAATTTTTATAGGAACACCTCATTGCATTATTAATGTTCTATGTTGGAATGTATAAATCCATCTATTTCTATATCTATATATATATCTATACTATTATAAAAGGATGAATGGTTTTTTGTAAGAAAATGAACTACTTAATATACTCTTACTTTTACATATTTTTAATGGCAAATTAGTAATACACTAATATTCATTGTATCTTATGTTTTTAATGAATTAACTAAAAAAAATTCTTACTTAAGTACAAATCTTTAATTAATTAAATACAAATACATGAAAAAAAAAAACATTACAGAGCTCCTAAAAATCAACTATAATATTCTCACATCATTATTGATGTGTTGTTGGGGTGGGTCCCACTGATGTGGTGGTGGAAAAAATGACCACATTGCACTTAATGTATTTAAAATTTTGATTTTTTTTTTTTAATTGTTGGATGATCAAATTATGTGGTTAAAATTTATTCTTATTCTTTTCACTGAGCACGATCATAAATATATATATGTGAGTGTGTGTGTGTGTGAAATTTTATAGTATAATTTTGCACTAACACAATGTTTAACACATTGGTTGGAAGACATCCTCGGTAATTAATAGGTCGAATTTTAACATATTTGCTAACAAGTTTTAATTAGTCATTCTATATTTGGGCAATTTAAACTCCATATTAATTAACACAATGTTACTTAAACATACAACATCCATATATCTTTATTGACTCTTCACGAAGTTTAATTGTTAAATATTCAAAATTTGAAGAAATGTAACGTTTTGTAAATGACCACAAATACAACACACAACCGTTAATATCTTCCGATCAAAATTAATTTCATGAATTAGCAAAAAAAAGTACCATGCATCACACATGCACTTTACGGTCTAATATAAATTAACAATATTATTCCTTTCCATAAATGGGAACTATTNAAAAAAAAAAAACAAAAACAAAAAAAAATAACTTGGAACTAAACCCTGTTGAAATATATCAAAATGCATTTACATGATTACAAACTTATTATCATCAATTTTGTCCACCAGAAAATTACTGCAGACAGTTTCGGAAGAAGCGAATTGCCTGTTACACAATTGAATGGTGATAGTTAAAAGACAGAAGTATCGCGTTTTAGGGAACTTAGAAAAGCTTGATAAGCACAAAAAATAATAATATAACTTGAATTCCAGTACCTGTAGAGCAAAAACAATGTCTGCTCCATCTACCTTTAATGACACTCTTGTTATTTTACCATCTCGCGATTGTCCTAGTTTGAGAATTCCCTGCAGTTTGACACAGGATTAAGCTTCTGCTTTTTTATCTTCTTGTACCTTTTCGTTTAGTTATTATTTAAGTTTCATTTTCTTGATTAAAAATAGTTTTACCTGGTCATCTAGCACCCGGCACATACTTGAAAGTTCCGAGATGCTAACAGGAGGGATTAAAGTTGATTTGCATACATCCACGTAGGATTTGTTCAACTGCACCCGACAAAGATTAGCCTCTAAATTCAGGCACCAAAGAAGATAGTACATTTGTCCAGAAATTGGAAGTAATCATACCTCACTGATGGTTGTATCCTTCTTTCCTTTACGGAAAAGCTTCACAGCCGAGCAAAGTATCATCTGACAAAACAGCCGCACATAAAACAAAGATTGTCCAATTATATTTGACAACAGATTTACTCAACGACAGCAAGTCATCCATGAAGCGAAAAATGTTGCCAGGTTACAAGTAGACTTGTACCTGTTGATGTTGGGGGAGAGACTGAATGGTGTCTACTACAGGCGATGAAAATGTCTTTGATAATGCAGCAGCAACATGATCTATCCTCACCTGTAACAGTTCAAAATATTCGTCAAGCATCAAATTGGGGTATACATCCCATATAAACTAGGCTTATTTCAAATTAACAAGGGAAGCATATTATTGTTTTAGTTGCACAAAAACTTATTTCAGTCAGAACTGTTCAGATGGATTATTTCAGTCACAAAAAGTGAAATTTGAGACAGCTATGTCATATGCTCACCACATTGTTTACTTGGTCAATCAATGTTGCATTGGCTGCAGGCTGTTGATCTCTGACACTGTCTAACGATGATGGTATGCAGTCATTGTTAGCTTCTCTTGTTTCAGCTTCTAGAATTTCAATTGCACTCCTGAAGCAACAAGTTGGATTTTCTTGATATGGCAAACCATTGCGGAAAGAAGCATGAACGGTGCTTTAATGGTAAACTATCAGTTGTCCCAAAGAACTAGAAAATCGTACCAAAGCCAGTTAAAGCTAAATGAATGGAATTGGTGAACATGATCAGACTAGATACCTGCAAACAGAGAGAGCCTTTCGCATATCTCCAGATGCAGCGGCAACTTTCTGAAACAATTAAAAGCACAGTAATTCAGAATATACTCCTAAGCAGCATCACCAAAAAGTAAAAAGCAATAAAGGAAGAAAGAATCCGAATAAATTTTCTGCTCCTGGAAAGTAGTGTATAAGCTCACCCTAGCACAGAGTTCCAGTGCTTGAGGCTGGAATACTGCATAAGGAAGTGCCTGTTGAAATTACATTATATTAAGAGATTGATGGAATTTGCCTGTTTAAAGAACTTCTACATCTGAAATAATGCTTCTTTTAACATATTTTACCACGGACAAAGCAAGAGTATCTTTTTTTTTCCCTTTTATCTCTGTTCTGTTTTTTATTGGTCACTTCCCTTCTCCTTTTGAACTGATAGCATTTTTCCAATAAATACACATAATCTAGGATGTTCCTGATACTGATTACTCATGGAAAGAAAATGCTTTCAATCAACTTCATTACAGAAACTGGGCAAACATTGACAATTTGCCGTAAAGTAGGACCAAATGCTGGTAATTTTATATCCAGATTGATGCTTCAATAACGAAATAAATTTCCAGCAATGCACTAAGCTGTTTTCAACCGAAGAGAAAGTTAAAAACATTACCCTCAGTCTTTCTTTGAGAATACTGATGATCTGATCCTTGGAGTAGGCTCGAAATGTTATGACTGTAGGCTTGCCTAGAAAAATGAAGCAAGTTCATAAACAAGCACTATGAGTAAGCAGGAATAATAATTCTCTCTACCCAACATACTAGGATAGTGAGACGAAAACTATGCGAAGCATTGATGCAAATATCTCATGGAGTCCATTGGTGAAAGAGAATACTCCAACATAGGAAGCTAAAAGAGCCCGGTGTTCTGGAAAACAGTGCAGGAAAAGCCTGCCTTGAGTGAAATATGTATAGATGGAGAACTTTCAAGATATCATTACTGATTTCAGAAACAATATCGGGTTGGAAAGGCCTCAAAAGTAAGACAGGGAAGCAAATTTTATCAGATCTTCATATTTAATGGGTGTGGACAGCAAAATGGAACTAAAAACAATAGTGTTATATCATTTTTCTAGAAACAAATCACTTGCAGCCATAATAGAAACAGTACCAGATATGGAACATAGCTAAAACTAATACAAGCAACTTACAGTTTAAGGACTGCAGTTTCGGAATAAACCTGTCAGCTAAGTCAATAGCATTAGCGATCCCTGTAAACACAAGGTAACTAGGTTAAAAACCAGAGCATGTAATGTAAAATAAAACCAATTCGAAATTCACGTACCTAGAACAATACACTTGGAAAATGGCATAGTTGTTAGCATGAAAAGATCGTGAAGCACAGCTCGGTCTCTGGTGATCAGATAATCCAATTCATCGGCTATAATCAATCTGTTGAACATTTCGATATTAAATACGTGAAGATAGGCTATCACATGTAAGACGAAATAAAGTTCAGTAAAATGTGAATCCTCTCCCCTTAAACAATTAGACCACAATAAACTACATCTTGCAGACATGGAAATACTCATTACTTCAGGGAAGAATATACCATTGATACTTACATCATCTTCGAGCCAGGTGTCTGCTCCTGTGAATAGAGGTTGTGAAGAAGCTGCAATGATAGTGTAGCGCGATTATCTTTCTTCTTCACACGATTTTGCCCAATAATCTGTAAAACCAGCTGTTATAAGTTTTCTCTTATTCGTTGGAAACCACAAGATACCACAGCACTGTCATACCTTGCTGAAAATTTCACTTGGATTTGTCAGAGAAGTACAATTGATTGATACTATGTCTGGAGTCTGTACACCATCCTGCTTCCCAGGGGAAGGAAAACACTGAGTTGTGAGAATGGAATAAGACAATAGCAATCTTCTTATGATGGTAGGAGGAGGACACCGTTAATTGTGTAACAATGATTAAGAAATTGTAAATTAGTAATATGCTACATAAATGACATTAGAATGATTTCTAGGTCATTCTGCATCAAGAAAAGGATAGAGAAAACGAAGAAGTTAAGTCCAAGTGAAGTAAATAGATTGACAGCTTACAGAAAATACATAACACTGATAAATTCAAATAACAAACATATTACTAGTTTGACATAAGACTTAATCACAAGCAACTCCAATAGCCAACAATGTATACCTCATTTGCCCAATTCAGAAGAATGTCTTTTACTTTTTCCATCGACAATGACTTCCCAGTCCCAGGACATCCACACATATACAAACTCCCAGCTTTCTCTTCCTTGATGCATTTCTTGCAGAAATCTAGGATCCTATTATGCTCATCTTCACGACAGATGACAGTATTTGGAGCAGTTGACAAATGGAGTGCCTCTTTGACAGCTCTCAACTGCTCCACATCTGATATAATGAAGAATCACCAAAAGGAGGCCAATCAATGTTCAATAAACTACACAATTACATTAATTGAACCACAAATAAACTCATACATCTCATTCTGTAAAGATTAGCACTTGCCTCTTGGGTCCCAAGATGGTTTTTCCAGGAACTTCTCAGAAAATCCTTTTCCGAGCGATGACCCACTCAAATTTACAGATTTCACGCATTCCTCAATAGCCTGTTGTCAAGGATCGAAAAAATTAAAATAAAAATATACATACAAAAAGGTTATAAGTCACTCTTGCCATTAGCCACCATTAATCTTCAGAAACTCTATCATGAACAATAATAAAAACCAACATACGTGAATTCCAGCTAATGCAATAAATGCACTAGCAAAACATCAGCGCAAATCGATAGTTCGCACAAGAAAGCACAATTTCAGTTGAGCAATTTTCCCAAATAAACAACAGAAAACACATTTAAGGGAAAAATCGTCAACAAAATTCGATCATTCAACAAGATCTTCGCGGAAAAAATGAAAAAGATAAAGAAGAAGAACAGCGAGAATGATAAGGTAACTGTACTCACATTAACATTCAGCTGGCTTTTAGGACTGCCTTTACAGCACTGCCGCGGCGATTTACGCGCCGGAGATCCAATCGAATCATCTGAGTTGGATCTCAATCTGCTTTTCCGAGGAGTGGCGGCGGTGCTACCGGTCTCGGCAGCGGGATCCGATGACTGAGATGAGCGGCGGCCGATGAACGTCGGCATCTTGTGCAGGTTGGTACAGGGTGCAGTTGAAACGAATCAAACGAAAAGAAGAAAAAATCAGAAGGTGCTTTGGCTGTGGAACGACCAGTACAGATATAGCTGTGAAGTGATGCGCGAGATGGCGGGAATTGGGTGCAAATGGCGGGAAGGGGCGCGTCGCGTTGCAGGATTCAAAGGCGGCGTATTGCCTTTCGAGTTATTGAATTACGCTTTTCGTCTCCTCCAGGGTCTGTTTGTTTTGACCAAAAATGTGATCGGATGATTTTCTTATGGAGTCATCCATCACTTAATTTATTGACACATGTCCAAAGTGCATTTATTGTAGGACACATGTCGTTTCACTATTTGTTAATAAGTGTGGATGTTTCATAAGTGGTGTCATTCGATGGCTCCATAGCAAAACTGTTATTGACTAGGGCATAGTCAGAAAATTTTTTCACCCAAGCTGCAAAATATGTTATTACTATTCGAACTGAGTCGTTCTCTAACATAGTTTGATTCTACTTGTAAAAATTTGAGCTTGACTTTCTTGTATATTTAAACAAGTTAAAATCGAACAACTAATCGAGTTTATCTATCAAACAAGTCGAGTCGAGCGTGTTCGCGAATAATTCAGTTAGAGTTTTGGGTTTTGTGTTTTGTTATAGGTTTTGAGGTTTATTAAATGAATTGAACTGAGTTTAAACGAGTCGAACCCAATATCAACTTTTTATTTGTTTATTAAACAACTAAGCCATGACAACTCTTTAAGAATATAAATTTCTTTTGATAAAAATATTTTATTTTATTTTAATGCACCATGTTGTTTGTCAGATTTTGATAATCGGGGCATCAGGGGTACGGTCCCACACAGTGAAGCGCACCATAAAAAGGTGAGTCTAGTTGCACCTTAGTGAGGTTCCATCTCAAAACCAATTGGTTATGGAAAGAGTAGCCCACTAGACTTATAAACTAGACTCATTTACCATATCTAATCAATGTGGGACAAAACTCACAAGTGATATTCAACAGGCCCCCTCACTTATTAGTGTTTCATCAACCCAACCTACAACCAAGCCGGGTACATTTAATCATCATCATAAGCCCGAGCCTACAACTAGGCCGGGTAAATTTTTAAATCATCACAGGTCCTAAATTAGGCTCGCTCTGATACTATGTCAGATGTTTATAATTTGGGCATCAGGGGTGCGGTCCCACACAGTGAAGCGCACCATAAGAGAGCGAGCTTAGTTGCACCTTAGTGAGATCCATCTCAAAACCAATTGGTTATTGGAGGAGTAGCCCACTAGGCTTATAAATTATACTTATTTATCCTATTTAATCATGTGGGACAACTCACAAGTGATGATATTCCAACATTGTTCACTAACGTTATATTAAATGCATAATAAATTAATTATTCTATTTAATCTTTTTAAAAGAAAAATTAAATATATCTTACATAAAATATATAATATTTTCTAAAATTTAAAATAATATTATAAACTCTTTTTATTATTAATTACTTATAATTTTTCTTTTATAATAATATTTTTTATTGTTCTTTGGTGCACAATTAATTTCTTTCTTCACACACCGTGTAATTTATAGGTGTTGTACTTCTTAGATAATAAGGGAAAAAACTTATATCCATCTGAACTATCACGATTTTGGCGCATTACCATATAAACATTTTTTTCTTAGCAAACCACCATCTGAACTATACGGGTTTGTCACTTTGCCATCCGAATCCAGAATTAAATTTGTTTTTGTGAAAAAAAAAGCTGGTTTGAAGGATATTTTAGGAATTGCATTTGTTTTTTAAAAAAAATATAAATTTACGAGTGGAACTTGGATCTGGAAAACTATACTTGTGCACCCACCCATACCCTACACAACTGGTTGATGGGAACTCATCCGGTAAACCTGACGGTGTTGCAGAACTCGAAGAACACCGGCCGACGGAGTGGCCGTAACTGGAGCCTCCTCTTCCTGAAAACTCGTCGGGGTAGGCGGAGGGACCGAGATTGTGCACTGCCGGAATATTGGTGTACAGATAAGAGCAGAAAAAACAACGGCAAATGATTTGTTCATTTTTTGAGGATCAAGATTTTTGGGAAAATATTCCGGCGAGTGAGTTGCCTTTTGTAAAGAGAAAATTATTCACTGAAAAGAAAAATGCGAAACAAAAATGTAGGATAGATGCTTTTAATCCTAAATTGATATTTTAGTTGAGGCATTAAGGAATTTATTACATAATCAGCCGAGAACAATATTCGAGTGAGTCTTTTGAAATAGGTCTTGTTTTCTTGTGATTTTTTTTTTTTCATTTGAGCTATGAGTATGAGTTATTGTGATGTATTCACGATATGTTGCCACCATATTTGTTTGTATTATTGTCGTGTTGAGACGTGAAATTCCCAGGTTCGAGTCCGTGTTTCGTGTTTGCTTTCTGGGCAAACATGGGAGTTGCATGTCTTGTACTTGGCTAAGCCCTAGCCATTGCACATTGTTTTTACGTAAATAATGGTGGTTTTTTTATGGACTTTTTTTCTTCATTAGCTTGCCATTGCACATTAATTTTACAGTTTTTACTTAAACATGGATGTTTGTCCCATTTCTGTTCCATTTTTTTTCCTTATTATTTTTCCTTTCTTTTTCCCCTTATATTAGGTCTTTTAGTTAGTTTTTATCTCGTTTTGTAGTTTATTGCGTGTTTTCCTCTATCTTGGTTTTTCTTGTGTTTTCCGTATGTTTTTTCGGTTTTTCTTCATTTATGGTGTGTAGGTCGAAACTTTGGGAAGATCAAATTTTGGGCAAAAGTCAGTTGGGCAAGCGTAATTAGATAGAGGAGTTTGTTGGGAACACACAGAAAAAAATAGAACTCAATTTCGATACCAGACGAGCCCGAACGACTCCAAAATGTGAAGTAGTGCGAGCTGTCCAGGCCATGCGCGCCCGCCGCGCTGCGGAGCGCCCATCCACCGCGCCGCGAAGCACTGCCACACGCCCCGCGCCGCGGCACTACCCCGCTTCGCGCCGCGCCTACGCCACGAGGTCAACTGGGAAGAACGTCCAGCAAGTCTGCCGCGCCGTGACTGATCCTTCGCGCCGCGAGGCGGCCCTTCTCCGCGTCGTGCTAGGATTTCCACGCCGCGTCACTCGCCTAACTATAAATATGGATCGCGACCAGATTAAGGACAACACCTCTCGACCGGGGTGAAAACCCTAGGTCCAGAAAAACGCAAAAACCCACTTCTCCTCCTTTTCTTCTTCTTCTTCTTCGTTTTTCTTCTTCTTCTTTTCACTTTTATTTTCCATTTTTCTTCTTCTTCTTTTTAGTAATCAAGGATTGAGCTTTGTATTTTTGGATTCAACACTCGAATTTGGGATTGATTGTAAGTCTTTCTCTTTTGACCAATTCATGAAAATGATTGTTTTAAGGAGAATGATTAATTGTGTTGAATTTGATTTACGTAGCTAATTCCTTCTGCTAGGGATAGGGGATGATTGTTCTTGATTAATTTCGTTATTGTCGGGCTCAAGATTGTTCATGCTTATGTGAGTTGATACTATTCAGAATTGATGAATTTATGCTTGATTGATTGATATAATTGAAGAGTGACACTTCGATCTTGCGATTGGAAACAATTGAATGTTAATTTATCGAGCTAGGGTTTGTCAGTTCTATATGATTAGTCGATTAATCACCTTCTAGTTAATTAGCGACTTTCAGAACCGAAAGGGGAGAAGTCGTAGACCTAGACTCGCATGAGGTAGATGATTTCGTAGTTGAATAATCTATGGGTTGAGATTGAAATACGTGCTTGTTGATGACCTGTCCCTTGTTACGAAAAGTTATTGGGATTGGGACAATTGGCCTGTGTTGTATGCTCGAGCTTGTTCGTCTATGTTCAATTCCTTGTTACGAAAAGTTATTGGGAGCGAACCGCTAGATGTTTGAGCGAGAGTGTCAATCTCGAACCGAACAATTGATTGCCCGGCTTTGCTAGAACTTGAATTAATTATCCCCGACTCCCTAACTTCTTTATCTTTGTTAGTTTATATTCTTGTTAGATTATTGCTTTTATTATTTCTTAGTTTATAATCATCCATACTGCTATCTGATTAGAGTGTTTAGGACTTATTTTCTTTTTCTGTGCAATCAATACCAAAGTTAGATTCCGAACAGCCTTCATTGAGAGATCGACCCGGAGAACGAATCTTTCGATTCGGTACTCGATAAAAATAATAATTTGTGCTACAACAATGGACTTTGTTCCTTCATTAGAATTCTCATTTTCCCAGTAAGTCTTTGCATTATTGTGATTTATATATGCAGAATTGAAGACATCTGGTTGTTATACAAGTTGTTTTAAGCTTGATTAGTTACAAAAAGTTTATCTTGGTCTGGTCAGTGAACATTTATCTTAAAATAATAAATGAAACAATAATAATATACAGTCGAGGAGCTGTTGGGTCTTTCTCTTTGGAAATAATAACAGGTAAAAAAAAATGTAATCAGGTCTTTCTCTTCTGGAGTTAATAAGAGGTAAAAAAAAAATGTAATCATTATACAATTATTTGATCGACTGTGTCAGCGGCTCCGGTGGCAAAGCCGATCACGTTTTCGAAGAAGGCAAATAGTCTCGAGCATGACGGAGGCGTTTTTTCCGTACGAGACGTCGATAAGGAGGCCCGGGTGGGGCCTTGGATGAAGGTGTGGGAGATGTCGAGCATCCAAAAGCTGGCCAAGAAAACAACGGTGACAGCAACCAAGCCCGGAGACGTCGACGATGAAGGCGATGAAGATGGCAGATGGAGAGGGAGCCGTGTTTGTAGGTTGGCGACATGTGTTTCATTTTATTTTATTTTTTCTTAAAAAATATACAAATTTCCTAAAATGCCCTTAAATATCAACTTTTTTTTTGTCAAAACTACTTTATCTCCGATGTAAAGGGTAAGATGAAAAAACGTGAAGTTCGTATGGTGGTTTGTCAAAAAATATAATTAATATAATAAACTACAAAAATCGCGATAGTTCGGATGAAAAAAAGTAATTTACCCTAGATAATAATTATCTAATCTCGTGAGGATACATCATTTGACAACGGATTCGAATACAATTGCAACCATGTCAATTCCACGTCAGCAACTAATCATGTTACGTGAACGGATCATAAACCAGCTGTCAGGTGTCATCGTGCACTCGAAATCCAAATATATTACTGTGTTTGGTGTGAAATGTTGCTCAAAGCTGATACACACTTCAAATCGGACTTTTGATTGCTCGGAGAGACTTTATTGGCGAGAAAAATGGGTGAAAGGGCAGTGGTCGGCTTCGTCGGACTGGACGAGGTCTCCTTGCAGCTGGCTGCTTCTCTTGTGCGCTCCGGCTATGGGGTTCAGGCATTTGAGGTTCGCCCGATTTTTTGTTTATTTTTTTCGATTGTTCGTTCACTTTTGAGGAATCATGAGCCCTTTTTGCTGTATTCTGATGCCTGTAATGTGTTTGAATGAATTGAAATGGTGGAGACATTATCTGTTATGGTTGGCCAAATGAGCTGAAAAGATGAATATGCATCAGCTCGTTTTGTGCAGCTCATATAGTCTAGTTAAACCACTACACTACTGAATCTGGAGAGAATCTAATCTATTGATGTTATAGTGAATCGTGGTGTTATAGATGGATCTTAACTGAGAAGACAATTCTGAATATTGTGTGTCAGTGTATGGACGGTAAGCTACCGGCATTTTCGACTTCTTTTTTATGATTTTTAGTTACTGTTTGGCAGTCGTCTTTACTATGTTTGAATGAATTGAAATGGTGGAGTCATTATCTGTCATGGCTGACCAAATTAGCTGACAAAATGAAGTTGCATTAGTTAATTTGGTGAGCTCATGTAGAGTTTGTAAGCCAGAAGTTTCAGGTTCTGAGTGGAGCCTAGGTAAATCACTGCATTTCTGAATCTAGAGAGAATCTAAATGATCAATGTTATAGTGATCGGTGGTGGTATAGATGGATCTTAATGGATAATATTGAGTGTTGAGTGTCATTTTCTGAATATCAGTTCACTTGTTGCTTGCTCTAACAGGCATTATTCTAAAAATCAGTTCACTTGTACTCAGATTAAGATTTAAGACACCAGCAGGTTTTGGTACTAAGAAATCGCGTCAGTATAACACGTGGTATATTTCACCAGTAAATTAGTTACTTTAGTTGATGATTTCTTGATTCAACGAGTGTATATTTAATTACATATTTGTCGCTAGTATGTAATGTATACTATCGGATCTTCATGAATAAACTTGGAAAAGAAATTACTATTATCTATACATTTATGAAATTAAGTAAATATCTTACATAAATGATACAAGAAAGTAATTACTATTATCTATACATTTATGAAAATAAGCAAAAATCTTACATAAATGATACAAGAAAATAAATGTATCCACTGATGTTGGTATTTATCAGTATTTATAGTACTATCTAATTAGAACACTCAATACAAGTCACTTGCATGAGTAGTTACTGCACTGACTAAGGGAACTGCAATAGAAACAACACCGCACAAATTCTTCTTGAAATCATGGCCAACAATGGCTTCTCATCTTAATTCAAGCTTGACCTATCGAAATACGTAAAGCACCATGTCTGATAAAAGAGTTCACCACCCACATACACTTAGAAGGACATATGCATTTACCTGCCAACAAGTATCATTTTAAACTCATGCTACAATATCAAATAATCTCTGACAGACGAGATCCAGATAAATTTAAATCTCATAAAATCCTTGTTTTTGTTTAGAGAAATTATAAATTGTGATATTGAGAGGACTAAATGCCTCTGTCTGAGGTGTTTCTAATATTGTTGCATTAGTTTAACGAAGTTAACTAATCATGAAGCTAACCCAAATTCTTCTTCTAATTTGTACTTGAAATCATTGTTGCAGACGTCAGGTCGGTTGATGGATGACTTCGCAGAACTAGGGGGTACAAGATGTGCAAATCTGATGGAGACAGGGAAAGGTTTACGTCATACTTATGCTTTTCCGGTTCCTCTGGTAATGTATAATTTAAGGAAGAACCACCATGTAGCATTGATTTGCTTTAGCAGCTGATATGATTTTGAAGTAGAAGATATTGAAAAGTGTGTTTTGCGTTGCCCTTAAGATTCTTTTTTGGTTCTTGGATTTCTTGCTGATGGTTATGACCTAGATATAACAGTATACTTGAAATTGGTCTTAGAATGACAACAGTTAAACTTGACTGTAACAATGTTGCAGTAAATGAAGTTGAAAGAAACAAGCACAAAAACTAAAGTAAATTAGAGGTGAAGACGAAATTGCCAATATATAATGTGTATATATATTTGTGTGATATACCTGTGTAGAACCATTGTTAAACATTTGCATCGATCAACTTGGTCCTCGTAGACACTGCAAAGAGGAATTTATAAATTCTGGAAAAGCCACACTTTTATCAAAATTAATTATGATTTGATTATTGAAACCAATACTTCTGAGCTAGGAAAAGAGAAAACGAAAAGCAAATCTTTCACATTGAGTATCTTGAGCTCATTTTGACTTTTATTTTTATTTTTTTTATCATAACCTTGAGATTTTATTTTGTGTTGCTGGTTGCAGGTGTTCATGCTTTGGTCGCATTAGTATCTCATGCCGATCAAATAGAAGATATGTTTTTTGGCGTCGAGGGGGTTCTAAAAGGTCATCTTAAGCTTGTGGTCAGAGATCCTTCTTTATTTTTGCCTTATTGTCTTTCAGCATTATAGTTGTACCTGTTTGAATTTCTAGGATTGCGGAAAGATGTAATTATTATTGTCCATTCAACCATACTCCCCGCACACATCCAGAAGATGGAGAAAATTATTACAGGTAGAGATTTTCCTTCTAGCTGATGTTCTCAGCAGTGAAGTTCTGTCATTCGACATGTTCCACTGTCTTTTACAGCTTGCTGCCTGTGTCTTCAAAACAGTTTAATGTAATTGTACCTATGTAATTTCAACTTGGTCTATCATTTAGATTTAATTATTATTGTTTGGTAAGGCTTAACCATTCACAATTTCTTTTACAGTTATTTTAAATTCATGTACTGTCGTCAAAGCAAATGGTTGTATTTGCAGGTGCTTTTTCTTCAAAGAATGAGATGTGTAGCTTTAAATAGTTGTGGTCACCACTACTACGATCCCACCATTTTCATGCTTGTCATGGAATTTCCTTTCTTTGTCCATTCATTTTGTGCCTTCCCACGTTTCTTTCACTATAGTTAAACTTAATTATGTCACTGAAATGATGGACATTGGACACGTGTTTTCTTGCTCTAACAATGCCAAGTTTTCTTGTTTCCATTCTATTTTCCTCGCTTGTATATATTCCTGCTTGAGCAATGCATATCATATGATCGAAGGTCATCCTTCTATTAGTTCACATTGCACACAAGTGAGTTGTTTCGTTAAACCCAATTCCTGAATCAGGAAATGAATAATCAAGTGGATGGAGTGTATCTTTTCTTTTATTGTATAGATCTTATTGTTTTTCGCTTATCACATATTTTTGCATTTTGCACTTGCAGGGGATTATCAGATGGAAGTTATTGACATGTACGTCTTGCAGGCGCTGTCTGAATCTTCAATTGGAAAACGCATGGTAAAACTATAGGAATTTGAATTGTTTTATTTGTTAATTCTTCTCCTCATCCATGCTTGATATGCTAATTTTCTTTTGTATGCCATTGACCTTCAGATTATTTCTTCTGGACAACTGGAATCCCTGTCTAGGGCACAACCATTTCTTTCTGGTTCATATTTCCCTTTTACCTTTCTGGTTTCTTTTAGCATTTTCTGGTCATTGTTATTTTGGATATTGTATTTTTAAATAGTCATCACACTTTAAGACCTAATTTTGTTCTGTGAGCAGCTATGAGTGACAAGCTTGTCTTATTTGAGAGTGAAATAGGAGCAGGCAGGTGTGTTTTCTCGACCCATCTCACATCTTTCCCCTTTCAAAACAAAAATTGTTTCATATTTGAAAAGAAGACACTTTTTTATTACAATAAGGATCGATGTCCCTAGTACATTCCCTGAAATAAGAAAGTACAGTCTCCATATTTTGGTTGCATGATTGATTGACAGAGCAGCTGATACTAGCAATTGTATGGTGCTCATGGTTTTGGTTTCACTTAATGCTTATGTTTTTTGTATTTGTTTTTTTCATACTTTTTGCAGCAAAAGTAAAATGGTAATCGAGCTTCTTGAAGGAATTCACTTTGTTGCTTCACTTGAAGCTATGTCTCTAGGTGCTCAAGCTGGGATTCACCCTTGGATAATCTATGATATCATTTCTAATGCAGCTGGAAGCTCATGGTGACTAAATTCTTAATGCTCCCTCTTCTAGTTGCTTTATTTGAGATTTAATTTTGAATTATAGAACAACTTAGTACCTGACGGGTTTAGAGTCTTTTCCATCATTTCAATAATTTGCAGGGTCTTCAAAAACTATATTCCTCACATGTTAAGGGGTAACCAGTCTACTCATCATCTACTCAGTGCTTTTAATCAAAACTTGGTAAGATACCTGATATATTGAACATGATGTATAATAGTTTATGCATTGTAATGCCCAACTATTTGTGATTGAACAATTGTAATGCACTTAGGTGTTGCAAAAGTTCTTGTATTCCAGATACTAATTGTTATTCAAGTCTGACAGCAAAACAACATTAGACAAATTATGGGGACGAATTTTTAGATGAAACATTGTTTCAGTTTAAACACGGTGGAAAAAAGACATTCTTAACATTTTAAGCAAAAATATTTAGTTGTATTCTCAGTTATGGTTGTACTGTTCCAACATCATCATGTTTGTTTTCTCGCTGACTGCTGTAATTCCCTAGCTTTGTCAGTTCTAACTAATTTTTATGTGAATTCAAGGGAATAGTATTGGAGATGGCAAAATCACTTATATTTCCACTCCCTCTTTTAACTGTTGCCCACCAACAAATCCTTGCAGGTATACTATGTACATCTTATGTTAAAGTTGGTCTAGGCACGTTCTTCAGATGTCTAGAAAAACTTATCATGATTCCTAATGCAATGAGCTTTTCCTTTCTTT